ATTAAAACAATTACATTTTTGAGGTTTTTAAATCTAAAATTAGATTTTGCCAAAACCTGAATATCCGTCCGGTTAGAAATGAAACCCTTCCTCCTTTTCCTCCCATCCCGCCTCTATCCTACCCCAGATGCCGAAAGATAACCATGCCGAAAAAAATCTTCATTTAAACTTCAAGTTTCTAGTTTTCATATTTTCGAGAAAAATCAAAAGGGGATAGATATATTCCTTCAAGGTAATACATTCAATAGCTTAGATATAGTAATTGTTTTTAAAAATCGTTATTATTTTCATTGCCTTCATATCAAATGAATATGAGCCCGCGTCCCAACGACAAAAACCAACATAATTTGCCGTTTGCGACCAGCATCCGCCGCAGTCTGATCAGGATCCATGCTGTTCGCTATCAGTTTCTCTACTTGTGATAGGGCTTTTAAGCGAACAGCATGGATCCTGATCAGATTGCACGGATGCGCAGGCTGGTCTGGATCCATGCTGGTCGCAAACCCATTATGTTTGTTTTGTCATGACGCGGCTCAATTATGTTTTCTAAATCATAAATGGTGTGTCATATGTTCTAACTATAAAAAGTTTGAATTACACCCAGTAATTTTCGTATGGATAAGAATGCAGGGATGCTGGTAAAGATCATGATAATTACAACAGTCATTTGAAACCATGCCTAACCTTCCACACAATACCGGGTCCTGGTTATAGCTTACAAGTCCTGCTGTGACAATCAGTTTGCAAAATCTCATCAAACCGATTCCTGCAATGTGTGTGAGGCTACAGACGTACTAGGATTTTGCGCAAATGTAAACAACTACTTTATCCTGACACTTTGGTGGAGGTATGAACGTTTGCCACAATCTTCATTTGTGATACATTGCTGCTACATTGACATGCAAGCCTTCAAAAAATTATATTCAAGTTTAAAATCCCCAACCCCAAATCCAAAGTAAGGGCTTAAAACCATCAATCCTGGGCGGGGACATTTTTCCCCACAAAAGCGGCCCACGGGGTTGTTTTTAGTCCCTCGGTGAAAATTATTTGGGTTTTTGGGCAAAATTTATGTTTCCTGAAATGTTTTGTTGGGGTAAATTTACTAGGTTTTTTGCGAAATTTTAAAACCAAAATTAACTTTTTCCTAATTTTTTTGGGGGAGTGCAAATGTTTTAAGGGGGGTTAAAATTTGCAAAAACCCCCAAAATTTGTTTAAATACGGTTTTTTCCAACCAAATCGAGGTAAAAACAATTGACATGGAAATAATTTTTATAAAATTTTACCGGGACAGGGCGGTTAATTTGGGGAGCAAAGGGAAAGGGAAATTTCGGCGGAACCGAGTTTTAAATTTTGATTTTTGTTATCTGGGCAAAAAAGCCTTTAAAATTTCGTGATTTGTTCTCCAAAATTACTCAAGTATGGGCTTGAACCCAAAGCAAATCTTAAAAGCCCAAATTCGTCTATTTGGGGATTTTCATATTTTTAAAAATAATGGGGCTAAAAAATTTGACTTAAGTCTCTTTTCCAATTTTTTTGCCATAAATTCAAAACCGACTGGACGCCCGTAGATGTCGCAACGCCTTCTAAATAAATAGCACAATGCCGCTAAATTGTCGAAAAAAATGCTTTCAAAAATTCACGTAATAGAATCGGGGTAATAAAACTGAAAAGGCATAAATTTAAGGGGATATGATAATGGTAATGGTTTATGGGTATGGTATGGTATGGGTAATGGTTTGGTTTAATGGTTTAAGGTATAATATAAAAATATTTAAAAAATAATAATTTAATATAATAAAAATATAAATAAAATAAAATATAATATGACCCCGGTCATGAAAAACCCAAACATAAGGGGGGGTTTGCGACCCCCCTGATAAAAATTCGAATTTGATAACCCCAAAAAGCATGGACCCCTGATTAGACTCGCGGATCCCGCGGGCCCTGGTTGAACCCCTTTGCGGTCGAAAACGACTATGTTGGTTTTGTCGTGACGCGGGCTCATATGAAATAATTTTAAATATCATATCAAAAATCATACATCATTAATTAATGATAATTTACAGAAACTGTAAATACATGATTTTTTTTTTTTTTAAAGGAAAAATAATAAAAAAGGTTTGGTGAAACTTCTGGAAAGGATTCACCCGATTCTACCCTGTTTATATTTTAAAAAGTAAAAATTTTAAGCCAAAGCATTTTAAAAAATTATTCACCCCCTTTAAATTTCTAAAACTGATATATATTGCAAGTAAAGTGGTTCTTGATTATAAAGCGTTTTCTCAGTCTTGAATTCATTTTACTGGTTCAACCTGATAATTCGTTTATAAAATTCAAATCCATGAAGAAAAACAAACCCGACAATCACAAGCACAGGAAATGAAAAGAAGCAAGGGGCATTTCAACAGGAAAATATTCTTTTTATCGTCAATCGTGTTTGAAATCCGGCGGGAGGTTTTTTCTAAATAATTTGTTGTTGATTTCCGCAGCAAGGATTGCAAACCAAAAAAGGTTAACACGCCTTATCTCCATTAACAATATTAGAAAAGTGCTTTTCCTTGTATTTTGGGAACCTTTTAATCAGTTTTCTGGCTGCTTTTCGGAAGAATTTGAACAATAAATGAGGACTCTGACTGGTAGCAATTATGAGGACAGTATGTAAAAGTGCAAATTATGCTTTAGGTAAGAATAACACCATTTTAAAAAGTATCGTAACACATGGTGGGTCATCACGTATCACTTACTTGGATTAAACATATTTATTGAAACTCGATTACGAAACAAGTTCTTGCGACTTATATTAATAACTTTTAAGTCCATTTCCTGGAACCAATCAGTACTGATGACATATGAATAAACATGGCCGTGACCCGATTTGGACTCGAACCCATGATCACTGGGTTGAGAGGCAGTCACCATAACCACTAGGCCACCGCTCCCCTTAATTGACAATTATTGATTGGGTCCTCGCTTATGGTCAAGCACATGACATAAAAACGTTTTTGATCAATTTTCGTTATATCATGAAATTAATTATTTGAATAATAACATGTATACCATGTTTATGGCAAATATTTGACGATTCCAATTGTTCATAAGTTCAAATTGTAGCCATTATATATTTTGCCGTAATGCTTGCAGAAATTTTTCTATGCGGCAATATTTGATGAAAGTATGCGGCAATATTTTATGAAAGTATGCGGTAAAAGTGTGTAACAAATTTTGCAAGCATATCGTTAAAAGTACAAAAGCTACATTGGACAATTACGTTCTCACTGGAATTATATGAACACGTAAATATGTACTTTAGGTATTGTGTCATAATTTAAAAGCGTACATATGTACTTTCAGGTATTATATCATAATAATATGAAAATGTAAATACGTAAATGTTCTTTTTATATTCATTGTCATATAATGTCATAATTTTATGATTTGTTTTCTCTCTGCGTTTCATTGTGTGACATCGATTTTACTTGACGCACAATAAAACAATAATAATTAATATCCTTGTTTTATCTGTCATTATATGAATCATTCGTGTACGCTTGTAAAACGCAAAAGTTTTCAAATATATCTAAACTTCGACATTTTACAACATATAGATATTCTGTGTTTTTTATGAAATTTCATTTAAAAATTACTATGCCCAACTTTAGTAAACTTTTTTAAAAACAGAAATTTTTTTTAAAGTATGAAATTTTTTATCAATATAAAAAGAAAAAAAATAAACTTTATGGGAAAACTATTCCCCGGGTTTAGGTAAAGTTTGGGCTTTTTTATATAAAAAAAAAAACAAAAAAAAAACAAAACAAACAAAAAACACACACAAATGACTGCCAGTTTTCACATTGTGACAACATATAGTGTGTAGGGTTTAAAAACATAACATATTTTGTATGAAGTAAAAACATGTTTATTTTATATTCATAAAAAATCTGTGTAGCAATCAATTTTGAGCATAGTATAACTTTACGCTTCTTTCGTTATGCGACATATCCTTTGGTCATATTGTTATTTGTCTTTGTTTGTAGCATGTCTACACTGAAATTAGTTAACTAAAGAAGCTTCAGAAGATTACCAGAGGGAAATTGGCAAAATTTGAGTAATTGTTACATTGTTACCGCAGTAAACTCACTTACAATGTCAAAATTCACGTCTTTTATTTATTTACGTCTGGTATTTTTTTTTACAATAGAAAGAGTTATTGTCGGTAAACATTGTTGAAAATATCAACATATGCATTTAAAAAAAGTTTGTGTATAAGTACGCCTGATGTTGCTTCTTAGAATTTATTGTTTACATAAAAATTTAAGGTTTAATTATACAAAAATGTATATCAAGTAATAGAAAGAGCATGAAAGCGCGAGGCTGTTTGATTTGTACGAGGGGACGTAGCTCGTATACGATTGAACTCTGATACGTTTCTATAGCAATTGTCTCCAAACTATCATACAATAATGATTTATACGCTCAGTAGCCTTGACACTACAGTATTATTATTTCCCTGAAGTTGCCGAGGTTAGATGGAATTCGAGGGAGATATAAATAGTATATATGAGTATTGGCATTGTAATTTTTATTGGTTTAAAGGCCTTTGTGGTAAAGGCAGCACACTAACAGCACGCTTATTTTTTTTTCTTTTCTTTCAACATTCATGTGCTGGAACCATGGTGATTAGCCATTGCCACCAGTATAGAGCCGACCAACCTGTACGGATCTTGACTAGGTTCTTTATTGTATATTTGCATATTTGATAATAGTATAAAACATTTTATATTTTGATATTGACATCCCTTTAATGATTGATATGAAAATTCAGCAGAGGTCTATTAACTACATCACAAGACATAAAACTTGGGCAGATTTTTAAGTGTACTTTATTTAACGTAAATATGATGATATTTTCATTGATTTATAAGGGTTACGTGCAGCTTGGCAGCACGATCATACAACAGAATGTCGCCGGAACTTGTATATATAACGGGCTGCGCAATCCTGTGTTATTCGTCTTGATCTAAATAAAATCATCATCAAAGCTCAAGGTAAGGCTTTAATTTATTATTGTTTATTAGTATTTAGGTTTTAGCTATAACAGTATTCATATGTTTCATAATTTAGAAATTATAGCAAATGATTTGTATTTATTTTAACTTATTTCATTGGCATGATTTCAACTTCTTTTTACAGAAGGCAGAAGAAAATTAATCGTATTGACATTTTGAAAAAGGCAAACAATGCATAGCGTTTTAACAAGATTTCGTAATTTTTATATCAACGGCTTGTGGCAATGCTACAGACCTCCTCATTGCGTTGTTAAATTGATAGATTATCGCTACGTAAATTCATAATTAAGATTTGAATTGTTTTATAGAAATATATGAAGCTAAAATGTTGAGATAGATTCTATTGTTAATTACGTTTCAGCCTTATGAACTTAATCACAATAACACACTTGTACAGTTGTTACGTCATGATATTCTAAGAAATATCATTGTGATAATAGCGTGATATAGAGGCATGGGTCTGTATATACTCCATGAATTGCACGAAAAGTGAAATATTATTAGTTATAGACGTTGCTGACAGGATATACAGGAACATATAGCTTGAATTAAATAAACGTGAATTGTTACTCTTTTGTCTAAATATATTGTACTATAATCCAACGCTTACCTATTGTGCAAAACCGGACTTTTTCGATGATGGCATCGATAGCGTTTTTGATATATTATGTACAAGGACTTAGCATACTAGTAAATAAGAATAGTAAACAAATCGATATAATCCCTATGGACCATCAATATCCTAATAGTGTTTGAAATATTTTAACGTGCTTACAATATTAGAAACAGTCTAAGACGAAATGACTAACTTTATATTATTACATAATTAATGCAGTTTTCAGTCTTATATACAAATGCGATGTAATACTGAGATATACATGTATTTGGATATGTTGCAAAAAGCAAGCTTTTATAAAATGCACAGTGTTCTGGCATATATAAATTGCAATTTGTAAGACAATAAATTCTCCTTTTTTCCAGTAGTTGTGAACAAAAGTACTCTGATTGTTGTCATACGTACCACGAAAATGGCTCGACTTCTCTGTTTAGTTGTTCTGTTGACCTTGGTATGAACGTTCATCTAGGTTCATCTATTTCTTATGTGTTTTTTAAAAATTAAAAAAACCCCTATTTCAAATTTGGGGGTTTTTTTCATTTAGCATGTTTTAAAAATCACGTCAAACATTAAAAGTCCAACACGTTTTCACAAAGTCCAAAAAACGCCATTTTTTCAATAAATATTCCCAAACTGAAACTGGGAGTAATTTTAAAAGTTTTGTAAAAGAATTAAAAATGAAATGTAACACTAAAGAAACATTTTTAAAGTTTTTTTAATAATTTTGACTGAAAAATGATTATAATGTATCTGTTATTTTAGCCTTACTCGAATATATCATCATATTTTATCTGAAATAATACATTTTGGTGGTTGTTCTCTATCTTAGTGTAAACTCACAGTTACTTTCTTATCTTCAGACAATTATCCAAACTACGGACGCAATCGCAAAGGACTGCCAAGACAAAGAATATTTAGACGTATGTTACATTAGATATTTATGATTGTACCCAGCAGGCACATCAACGTTGTTTCAACGTTGAATTATGGTCAGATTTCAACGTTGAAATAAGGTTGGATTTATATTCGGATTTGAAAGTTGAAACAACGTTGAAATTCCAACGTTTGATACAACGTTGCAGGTACAACGTTGAAGTTTCAATGTCATTTCAACGTTGAAAACCCACCATACTTTAATTTTTGGATATAAAGCACCAAGTTACCAAGTTTAACAAATATCAAGACAATATTAAATACTTCAGATATTTTATTTAAAAAACACAGTTCAGGTGCAGCATATGTCTCTGGACGTATGTTACATTAGATATTTATGATTGTATATGATAAACAATTGTTAATTCAATTTATTCAATACTACAATATTTATAACGCCTGTGTCATATGTTTGCTGGTAATGTAATCAACGTAAAAGCTCGGATAACTTTACCAGTACTCCCATACTTTCCAATTACTAGAAGTTAAAAATATTTGTAATAAGCGATCGAATAGAAACTGATACCTGATACCCTAAGTGTCTTGTATACATGTCATGAAGTAATTGCAATAAAACAACAGAAGCGAAAGATGGTCCAGGTAATTTACCAATAAGTACATTTTTGGAAACTATATAATAACAAGAAACCAACCATAAAAGGTTTTGAGAAATATGCATGTACATAAAAGCATTTTTTAGGGACAAAATGGGCCTTTAAGTTAATTTGACAGACATTTCATTCTACTTTCAGCGATGTGGCCCTAATGATGAAGGCATATGCACGTGTCCGAACCTAAATGTGAACACGTTTCTAAATTCTGGAAAAACTCCATGCAACAATCTTGTCTGCAGAAAACCGTGATGATCAAAGTGGATACAGCCAACTTATTTGATATTTCTGATGAACTGACCTAGCTAATAAAATAGCATACAAGCATTATATCACTTTTTGTTTTAATTGTTCACATGCGTAGTTATAGTCTCAAAATAATATATATATATATCTAATATACCCGATTTTATTAACCTGTCAGTCGCATATTTTAGGTCAGTCGTTATGGTTGTAAATACAGTCTAAAGATATAGAACTTTGCCAATATATACTATGCCATTTTGTCAATAACTTGCCGGAAACGATCAAAAATAAGACAAGCTTATTTTTTGAGACCATTACAGTTTATCTGACAATCAAGAAACGCAACAACAAAAATCGAACAAATTATAAAACGTCCTTCAAAAGCTAGAACTACAAATATCACAGGTGGCAGTATCAGTGTTTGGACACCCCATCCTTATAAGCCCCTGGACCCCTACTACAACTTGGAAAAAAAATCAACACTCTAAGGCTTACTATCAGGTACCAAATACAAAACCATCGATAAAATTATAAAACAAAATTTTTCCACGATCAAAATTATAGCTATATATTTTGATAGTGGAAAAAAATATCATTTTATCGGTGGTTTTGTATTTGGTACCTTATAGTAAGCCTTAGAGTGTTGAATTATTATTTTTCAAGGTTGTAGTAAGGGTTCAGGGGCAAATAGGGTTGGGTGTCCAAACACTGATACTGCCACCTGTGCTACAAATCGGCCTAAGAAGCTCAGCTTAGCATCCTTGATGATGTTTCGACCGGAATACTACATGAACTACATGAATACACCCTTCGTATTAATATTCTACAATTAACTGAAGCTGTCACGTATATTGGGATAACTATTCCTTAATGTAGACCATGACTGGATTTCCCCCCCCCCCCCCGACCTAAAAACTCCTTAAGATTTATCCAAAACAAATCAGAACACATAACAAGTATAGGTAATCTTTATATATGACATAGGAATCGTCTCCTATACCAGGGCAGATCCAGCCAATATATGGTTTTGACCTTTTACTCTTTTTATCTGCAAACTTTTATATTTTGAACCAAGCACTTAAAACTCTTTTGACACACTTTTCTAAAACTTTTCCCAGTTATATAGTCAGATTGATTGAGAGTAACACATCAATGAAAATTGGAGTTTACGTACTAACGTTACTATGTATAAGAGGGTATGTACCATAAATGTTAATGAGATAATTGATAAAATGTGTGAAAACTTACAAGTAATGGAAAACTCTTACTGAAAAATGGATTCCATCCAAAAAAAAACTTCATTTAGGGATCACCTTCCCTGGGTCAACCATTATGTCAAGAGACTGATCAGCTAGAAAGAGAAATCGGGCCTTAAAAAAGGTAAATAAATCAGGATCATCTTCTGATCGTAAAAAAGTTCCTTGACATGAAACATCTAGTGCGGAAAAAAGGTTAAAGAGGCTTATAACCAGTATTTTGAAAACATTCTAAATTTAAGCAACGCCGATGCCCAAAATGGTCACAAACCAAACACTAGAAAGCTGTACTCCTTAATTAAATATTGAAAAAAAAGAAACATCTGCTACACACCCATTAAAGTATGAAAATAAATTTCACCATGATGACGTCTCAAAGGCTACAGCTTTAAATAAACAGTTTCAGTTAGTCTTTAGCCTCAAATCTCCACTATGCTCCTTGAAATGAACCCTAAGCATGATCAATCCGTCCCTTCTGTGCCAGATATCCAAATAGGAGCAAAAGGAATTGAGAAACTTCTCAATAAACTAAACCCTCATAAGGCCTTTGGTCCGAATAAAATTAAACCAATTGTTCTCAACACACTTTCCAAAGAGCTCTCTCCAATCCTAGAGGTTATCTTCCAAAAGTGATGAAGGCTCATTGCCATCCCAATGGAAATCTGCCCATGTAGCCCCAATCTTCAAGAAATACGATAGGTCAGTCCCTGCCAATTATAGGCCAATGTCCTTAACATGTGATTTGTGTAAGGTTATGGAACACATAGTTTCCTCTTCCATTGTTAAACACTTCAAAAACCATAACATTCTTTACCACCTCCAACATGGTTTCAGAGAAAAAAAGGTCAAGTGTTACGCAACCTGTTATGCTGGTAAATGACCTGGTCACCTCAGTATATGAGAAAAAACAAGTAGATCTAATTCTTCTAGATTTCAGTACTTAAGGCTTTCGACAAGGTCAGTCATAAGAAAGTACTGCTGAAAATACATGAAGTCCTATGGAATCAGAGGTCAAACTCTAAAATGGGTAAAATGTTTTCTAGATTACAGACTGCAGTCTGTTGTGCCAAATGGCAGCTGCTCTAACCCTATCCAAGTATCCTCTGTTCTAGGACCCCTCCTGTTTCTCGCCTATATAAATGACCTCCCATAAAACATAAATTCCGAGGTCCGCTTGTTTGCAGACGACCCTGCAATATACATTGGTCTGACATCTGCAAACAAATAAGTCACCCTCCAAAATGACCTAAATCGGTTAGAAAAGTGGGAGTTGAAGTGGAATAAGGAATTTAAACCCTCCAATTAAGTGTCAAGTTATTCGCGTCGCAAAAAGGAAACATCCTATCCCAACACGTACAATACTACCTCTATTGAGTCCAATTAGAATCGGTTACCTCAGCTTAATACCTAGCGTGGATATATCAGAAAACCTCACATGTGATGCCCATATAGACAGGACATCCAAGAAAGCAACCAAACCTTAGGATTCCTTCGAAGAAACATATAAAGGTTAAATCCCAATCCATTAAGTCCATTGCTTACTGGACGTATGTCAGGCCCCAGCTTGAATATGGGTTCGAAGTATGGTCTCCTCACAGCAAAACACAAATAGATCAAATCGAAAATGTCCAAAGAAGAGCAGCCAGATGGATTAAGTTAGATTATGGTCAGACCTCTAGCGTCACGGACATGCTTCACTCCCTTTAGCTTAGAAAACTGGAACTCAGACGTATAAATGCTAAGTTATCCCTTTTCTATAAGATTCACCATGGTCTGGTTGCTATCCCCATAGAATAATATTTGACACCCTCTCCCGATCACGCCTTATGTTATAGGTTATTCACAGCAACTTCAGACTATTACAAATTTTTATTCTTACCTAGGACGGTATACCACTTTAACCACCTGCTGTAGCCATATAGCTTGCATCGAACATCGCTCACCCTAGTTTTCCAGCTCCTGTTTTAAACATTTTTAATATTATTATATCCTCTTTTAAACAACTCTTTTTAACTTTCTTGCGATTTTTGACGCGCAAACATGTCTATCGAGGCCGATGTTTGACATTAACGGAGATAGAGACCTCCAGGTATCTAACGTAAACTCCAGGATTTAGTCTAGTGGAAACCGGACTGTGAGAGACCGGATACCGTCGATTAGTATGTTCACTACGCGCTCAAATCAAAATGGCTGTCAAAATAAAAATGTTAGGCCTACATGAAATGTTAGAAGAATCAGATTTTAAAGAGCTGATGAAGCATAAAAGAGAAATTCTTAACTTTATAAAGAAAATAGAAACACTTCAGTTGGTGGCTGTCAATATTTCGAATTGTAATGGAACGTGTAATTACTTATTCACAGATGCTTACGTTGAATATACGAGGACTGGAGCCTGTGTATTTTACAAAACGTTGTTTGAAATAGAAGTTATAAAACATTTTATTGAGAGCGGGGTCTTGCCTGATGAACTTCCATGGAAGAAAACGACAGTGCTTAAGTCATTAACAATCCTGGCAAGATGGCTTGCAGGTATATTTACCTGTTTACTGTACAGTAGTGTTTGACACTTTCCTTAATCAGGTTAACAGGTTAATTCTTCCTTAGAATTGGTTACCATTTGCTTCACTTTAAATATTGAAAATTGCCCCATTTAAAAAGGCGTTTCATCCTACTGATGATTCGTCCCATACTAGCTCACCTAGTTGGTAATTGGCAAGGGGTGTAAGTTTACTCTAACCACGGATTTATATTACAAATCCGTGCTCTAACAATATTGCAAAAACCGTATTTTAATATATTGCCATTTTGCAGAAGTGTATTGCAATAGATTGTAATAAGTATTGACATTATATACTATTATTATATGTGTATATTGTTCGGTAGAAACTTAATAAAATGTAAGAACTAAATAGAATGTGTCACACAATTTGATAAACAAACTAGTCATGCGTGACTTTGCACATCTTGGCTGCTTATGTAATTTTTGCAGCAACTTATCGACTTTTAGGGGTACTAGTTGTCAGATATTTTTATCTTACGTTGGCACCATTAAAATTTGCCAGTTAAAGATTTTAAGCGAAATTTGTACGAAATTACAAAGCAAAATTATGATTTTTATAAAATACCGTTTTCCGAAAATCGTATTGCAGTAGGAAATTTATTTTTCATATTAAAATATATCGGTTTAATGGTAAACCGTTACACCCTTACCCTTTAGTAACTGCCCAGTGGTAGTGACTTATGTGTAATATGACAAAGTTAATTAAACATTGTTGATATCCCAGAATTTCGTCTGTTTAAAACTTTTAGAAAACTTTTAAATCATTTAAAGATCTACAGATATAATGTAATTTCATCATGATATCATACCAATTGACCAAACATCATCAATATAATTATTTGAAAAATGATAGGGGCTAGAAAACTTGGTAATTAATTGTTAAAAAGGCAGGATTCATAGCAACATCTCTTTTTATGTATTTATTCATCATAACTATGATCATGTGTAAGCTTTTGTTAGTTTTGTTTGAACAGATATATTTTAGTTTCATTTGTTTGAAGCTATATATTAACTTATTAAGATTCTCAAATTTGTCCCAGGAGCCAACCAGTTCTAAGCAATGAATGTTCTTGCTCACAGAAACAATGGCTTACCCTTGGTAGGATTTGAACCTACATGTACAGCATTTCTGGCTTAGATCACTAGTCTGATGTGTTAACCACTGTCACACTCAAAGTTTTTGTTGGGGAAATGTCTAGTCCAACTAATTATGCTGGGTGAGAAATAATTGTGCTATTTTGTGTCTGGGCAATATCTCGTCTCTACTCTGGCCAGTAGAACAAAAATATCTCAGAATCTAGCTTTGGCACGTCAATATATTTTGACTAAGAGAATGTCAAGCATTTAGGACAAGAAACTGAAAGTAAAAAATCTTTGACCTTTATTTTAGTACATGTAACTGACTTATGAAAGTGCCAAACATTAAAGTGATTAATACAATAGTGAAACACAATTTTCCATAATCTTGCTGTTTTTGTACAAGTTTATAATATCAAGTCCATAACCACTTGCAGTATAGCTTATAATGTCACCAAAACATTCATATACTGATTTGCTTTATGTTCAGTTGCTTTTTTCCTTTCTTCTTTTAGAATTGGATCATAACAAGGAAGTTTTGGTGAAATATTCTGATGAAAGTAATAGCGAGGTAAAATGGACCAGCGTTCTTACTGCTCATTTAATAAAGAAACTTGCACCTGTTAGGTGTGCTCTTTTAAGTGATACTGGATATTCAAAGTTAGAAGAGTGCCCCTGTAAATGTGGAACACCGTTAGATTTTGGAGATACAAGTCTTGGTAAGTTTTGAAATACATACAAAATTACAAATTTACAAATTAATTGGATATCAATAGTCAAAAACATGTACAGTATAGGTCATGCAAAGCCTGATTTTTAGCTCATTTATTCAAAGAATAGTTGTGTCTAGACACCCAGGCATCTGTGTGGATGTTGCATTCTGTTTAATTTTTGCATGAAACTTCAACACACTTAATTGAGAGCATCATATGAATAATGAAGTCACTATCCAAGTTGAATTTTAACAAACTAAATAAAAAAGCTACTGATACAAGTCTTCAGGATCATAATTGGAGTTCACTTGTCTATAAATGTAACTCTAGCATGGAATGTGACTAAAATGTGGTCATTTGTGAATTAAGAAAAAGTTTTGGTTTGCCATCATGGAATTTTGAAATAACATGGCACAAATATGTACAGCATGATAAGAGAAAAAAAGACCTAGACCCCTAGCTCAAAGGTCAATGTCACACTAACAGGTTAAAGGTCATTAGTGAGAAAAAATCTTGTCTGGCCCATAGAACTTTCATATGTTAAGAGATTTTAAGTCAGGTGGCAAAAGCAGGGCATTTTTGTCAAAATTGTGAAGGGGCCTGGCCCTCTTCATTTTGTGTACGGGATATGTCTTCAAATTGCGAAGAAAAACAAATGACATATTGGCATTTCGGGACATTTTGAAACAAGACACTGTTGATTATAATTTCTGACCTGTGTAAAGTCTGCTTCAAGTCGGTACATTAACCAGGTTAACATGCGCAAAAAACATTTAACTTGATTAAAACTATTTCTGTGTTATTGCAATTATTGGCGTAAATCAAGTTTTCACTGGAAGGTAAATTATGTATTTTGAAGACAGTCCCAACATTTTGTGAAATCTCTCTTGAAATTGTGATTTTTTTTCAGCCGCTTTTTGAAAAAAAGTGCAATTTTGAACAATGAAAATTATTACTGATGTAAAAACCCTTTTGAATTCTTTGCTCCAGTACAGAACAAACTGAGAGATTTATGCACCACAAAATTAAGGCCTTGTAAATATCAACAGACATCTGTCTTTTACTTTCAAAGGTCTTTTATTGCAAAAAATATTGTGCAATAACAACCAACATCTTTATTCATATTATTGTGTGTCCTTTTACATGTATATTTTTGGACACTTCTATGTCATCCAGACCCAATTCTAAGTTTTTATATATAAAAGTACTTGGATTTCAAAACAATTGTGAATGCTTAGCATAGATGAAACATTTAGAGCCAAAGTTGCAAAGTTTCATTCATCATTCAGGTATATGCTTTTTAGCCCCGGCGTCCGCGTCAAGATTTCAGATTAAAGTTTTAGTCAGTAAAATATTTTTCACTATAACTTTGTCATTTCTTAAGGTATCACTTTCAAACTTCAAATATATATTCCTTATCATCAACCACATGTTTTGTGACAAGGTTCATAACTCTAGCACCAATATTTTGAGATTTATCTCCCCTTGAACTTAGAATTTTCCTAAAAAATACTATTTTTTACTGTTACTTCTTTATTCCTTAAGGGATCAACCTTATAATTCAAATATATGTACCTTATCATTATCCCCATCTTATGTGACAAGGTTCATAACTCTAGCACCAATATTTTCAGATTTATCTCCCCTTGAACTTAGAATTTTCCTTAAAAGATATTATTTTTTACTGTTACTTATTTATTTCTAAAGGGATCAACTTCATACTTCAAATATATGTACCTTATCATCATCCACATCTTATGTGACAAGGTTCATAACTCTAGCACCAACATTGCAAGAATTATCTCCCCATAAACTTAGATTTTTTTTTCTAGAAAAATGTTATTTTTTATTATAACTCTTTTAGTTTTAAAGGTATCTACCTCAAACTTCAAATACTTATTCCTTATCATCAATTACATTTTATGTGACAATGTTCATAACTCTTGAATCAATATTTACAGATTTATCTCTCTTTGAACTTAGGATTTTCTTTAAGAAAAATTATAACTTATTTACTTTTGAAGGTATCTACTTTGAACTTCAAATATATATTTCTTATCATTACACACATGTGTGACAAGGTTCATATCTCTAGCATGACTATTTCTAGAATTATTCCCCTTGATCTTGGAAATTATGTTAACAAATGTTTTTTTTTTACTATAAGTTATAACTTGATACATAATTATACATAATTGATTTTTCTTTCATAGTTTTGTCCTCCTTACTGCGTCCAGTATTTTATTAGTCGAGCTTCGCTGTCTCCTGTGACAGCTCTTGTTTGTATAGTTACAGCTCAAAAACAGAAGACAGATGTAATTGACTCCGATGTTTAGTATTTTTTTTTGGATAAGGTTTACATTCTCTTGTAGCTGTGATTTTTTATGGACAGGTAGCAGGATGGGAAACAAACAATTTATTTGTAGGCCTTGAAAACTCAAGCAAACTTGCTTTGTAGCCAAAAATGGATTGTTCTGTTTCAAATTTACAAAATCCCATATCCATTACATTAATTGATTATTCAAAATACCGGTAACCAAAATGCATCACCTACTTTTGTTTATTTTAAAACTGCATGCCAAAATATTTCAAGAAATCTTGAGAAAAATGTACGAAGAAAATTAAAACAGATTTAAGATTCAAGTAATGATTTACATGTTATGTGCAGTTAATGACTGATTTCGCACAACTTTAATGGTACATGTATTTATCTGAAAATTTAAAAATAAATATGAAATATAAATATGAAAGGGGGCGGAGTCAAAACTCATATTTATTTTAAGGGACTTCTTTAGCCATTTTGTTTGAAAAATCTGATTAATACAAAAACCTTTTTGTTGGATTTTGTTTTGAAAACTATCTAGAATGATAAAAAATGGTCTAAGAAAATAAATCCGAACACCAATATCTTTAATTCAGTCATTAACGCTGTACGGACGTTTAAAGAGTCGTTTACGTGACGTCACAATGTAGAGCTAAATATCGCATGCAAAACAAATAATTATATTACTGCGCGCTGTACAATTGCAGTTGCGTAGCAAGCACGGGATTTCGTAACCATTTTTCTTTGATAATGAAATTAAATAAAAAGGTTATTTTTTCGTTTTTCGTGAAATATGGTATATATTTTCACTCAACATGATAAAATGCCACATATTTTCACTCGCCGTCCCGGCTCGTGAAAATATGAGGCATTTCATCATTTTTCGTGAAAATATATTCCATATTTCACTCAAACGAAAAAATATCCTCTTAGTATTTTAGTGGTTTTTAGCTCGACTATTCGATAAGAATAGGTAGAGCTATCCTAGTCACCCCAGCGTCGGTGTTAAAAGTTATGTTAAAAGTTTTTGTAATACCTCAAATATTTTCAAAGTCCATTGACATATGGCTTTGAAACTTTGCACACCTGGTTACCATCATGACCCCAACCTGTAGACAGGAGGAGGTAACTCTATCAAGCATTTTGACAGTAGTTTGCCCCTTTTTCGACTTAAAGTTTACATTAAAGTTTTTGTAACACCTCAAATATTTCCCAAATCCATTGACATATGGCTTTGAAACTTTGCACACTAGTCTTGTTCACCATAGTGACCACAACATGTAGACAGGAGGAGGTAACTCTATCAAGCATTTTGACAGAATTATGCCCCTTCTTCGACTAAGAATTTAAGTTTAAGTTTTTGTAACACCTCAAATATTTTCCATGTCCATTGACATATGGCTTTGAAACTTTGCACACTTGTTCACCATAGTGACTACAACCTGTAGACTCAAGGAGGTAACTCTATCAAGCATTTTGATAGAATTTTGCCCCTTTTTTCGACATTTTAGAATTAGCGTTAAAGTTTTCGTAACACCTCAAATATTTTCAAATTTCATTGATATATGGCTTTGAAACTTTGCACACGTATTCACCTTTATGACCACAACCTGTAGACAGGAGGAGGTAACTCTATTAAGCATTTTGACAGAATTATGGTCTTTTTTCGACTTTAAATTTTTTTTACACCCCAAATATTTACAAAGTCCATTGACATATGGCTTTGAAACTTTGCACACTTGTTCACCATCATGCCCCCAACCTGTAGACAAGAGGAGGTAACTCTATCAAGCATTTTGACAGAATAATGCCCCTTTTTCGACTTAGAATTTACATTAAAGTTTGCATACCACCTCAGATATTTTCATATTCCATTGACATCTGGCTTTGAAACAAGTTGAAATTTTATACACTTCTTTGAGAGCATAATAGGACTCTCTCCAAGGCCTATAACTGTAACATGGATTTAAAGAAAAATTTGGCCCTTTTGTTAACTTAGAAAATTTTACATTATCAAGGCTCTTTTACTATCAAGCACTTAGAATAGTCGAGCATGCTGTCCTACCAACAGCTCTTGTTGTGTTGCCTGCTACATAGAGTTATTATGATGGCTGCAGCGTTGTCATGGTTAAGCAAAAACTTTACTTTACAAACATTTAAAAAGTTATCAACATGAAACTCGGAATATTTGGTTATCATGTCAAGGTGCAGTTGTTAGACAAGGGGCATTATCTGAAAGCAAATATTTAGCTCACCTGTCACAAAGTGACGAGGTGAGCTTTTGTGACACTATTCATCCGGCGTCCAGCAGTCTGTAAAATTTTCTTTAAACAACATCTTAGCCGCTTAGCCAATTTCATACAAACTTCACAGGAATTTTCCTTTGGTGGTCACCTTTAAAGATTGAGTTATTGTATATAATAAAAACAAAAAAATCTTATTATAGAAAACCTAAGCAGCTAGAGCTTAGACATTTAATATGAAACATCTTCTAGTGAGTGTCTAACAAGTTTGTTCAAATAAAAAAAAATAATACTTGTCTTTTTATCAATCTTTTCAATGGTCTGTTCGGATTGTTGATCACAACATCACTTAAGCGAGAGCAATTTGGCTCTGTTGAATTTTCATGGTGGTTCTGGTGTTACGACCGCCTCCGTGGTCGAGGGGTTAGAGTCGATGACTT